TATATATATATATATATATATATATATATAGCAACTAACTGCAAGACTTCAAAACACAGTTAGTTCATTCTGCGTAGATCGGACCAAAGACAATAATTAAAAAGCTGAAGGTTAACTTTGACATCGGGACGTCAGTCACCTCAGTCCCCCGTGACCATGGGTGCTGGAAAGCACCCGAAACGTCGGGTGTTAAAAATAAAATAAATAAAACGCGATAAAATCCGTAAAGGTAGTTTTAATCTATGTATATAAAAAATTATTAATAAATGGCTTTTAGATTTTATAAACAAATATAACATTTTATCGGACGCTCAATTTGGCTTTAGAGGAAAAAGGAGCACGGAAAATTCTATTTTAGCATTGACCGGTAATATTGTTGATATACTTGATAGAAGTTAAAAGGCTCTGTGTATATTTCTAGACGTAAAAAGGTGTTTGACAATCCCCATTCTTATCAAGAAACTTGACAGAATTGGTGTTCGTGGTCAATTTCTTCTTCTTATATCCGACTATCTTTTAAGGAACTCAACAAGTTAAAATAGACGATAACGCGTATAGTTATAATGAGCTCTGCACACAATATGGCGTTCCACAGGGTAGTGTTCTTGGACCTACCTTGTTCCTAATATACATCAATGACCTTACTGAAACTAAATTAACTAACGGTAAACGGTGACGGCTTCTTTTTCATGGTAAAAACTGGGATGAAGTCCATGAGTCAGCCTCCAAGGGCCTACACACTGTTATCAAATGGTTACATAGCAATCTACTTACCTTAAATATTAGTAAAACAAAGTATATAACATTTGCAATCAAAACTTTTTCGCAACCCAATAATAATCTTCATCTAATCGCCCATGCATGTGAAAACCTTTACAGAGCGCCTAAATGTAACTGCCAGCCCCTGCAAAAGGTTAGTTTCACAAAATACTTAGGGATATATCTCGATCAGCAACTAAATTGGCATAAACAAATTGACACTTGTACCCACAGAGTCAGAAAGCTATTGTGGTTGTTCAAATACATAAGACACGTCGCCGAAAAAAACTTATTACTTACACTTATACTGCTCTGGTACAATCCATCATACTATATTGCTTGCCAATATGGGGTGGTACCCATAAAACCAAAATGATTAAAATTGAGAGGGCTCAACGCTCACTCCTTAAAGTTATGACATTCAGGAAAATTACATCGGGGACTTCTGAACTATATCGGGACTGCAATGTTTTAACTATTAAGCAACTTTACACTTACTAAAATGTATTCTTAAAATTCACAAAACTATTATCCTAGATCAAACAAAATAACTAGAACAAAAATCTTAAGTAAGCGTAATTAATCCCTATTCTGTCGTTACCTACCGCACTGTTAAAACAAAATTTGCTCGTACAAATTTCAATTCCCAATCTCACTTATTGTATAATAAATTAAATGGGAAACTCAAGTTTTACAGCAAACATTACTTTGAGTGTAAAAAGATGATTACTTCTTGGTTGAAACAGCTTGACTATGGCAGTACTGAATCATTACTTACACACAACACGTAACATACGTTTGTTTGTATGAATCTTATTATATTAAATGCATTGCACATACACACACACACGCACGCACGCACGCACGCACGCACGCACGCACTCACGCACGCACGCACGATCGCACGCACGCACGCACGCACGCACGCACGCACGCACGCACGCACGCACGCACGCACGCACGCACGCACGCACACACGCCCCACACACACACACACACACACACACACACACACACACACACACACACTCACAGCTATTATAATTATTGTTACTTATGTCTGTAGATTTATCTTTATGTAAGGCAAGTCATATCTATCATGACTTACTGATTAAAGGAAGAGCGGACTCATCCTAATACAGGTTTTTCAAACTTAAAAGGGTGAAATCCATGTCTAACGCTGTAAATGAGACTTGTGTTATGAATAAATATTTTTGTATTTTTTAATAAAAAGTTTCATTCTCTGTAGCACCACATCAGCGACAGAATTAGTTACAACGCTGAGATAATCCGGCGAGAAGCAAACCCGCCTCCAAGGGTAGGATGCAAAAAGAGATCGCATCCCCTCCCAATCGGCCGACTTACAATGCCAAACACGGCGGCACGCCACCGCGATGGAAGCGTGAGTGGCTCCGGATCAGGCAAAACGGTCCGAGGAGCCAAGAGTGGCATCGACGGAGACCCGATATCCACCCGGACGAGAAAAGAGAATCATCAGAAGATGCAACAGGGAAGGTACATGCTCTTCCACATCTGAGATCCGCGTAGGCGAGGTAACCAATTGTGTCAGATCATATGCCAAAGCAAAGTCATAAACAGATCTACCCGCATGATCGAGAACCAAGCCATTCAGCGTGGTGAGCGTTAAAATGTTTAAAGCAAGACAAAAAGGATTATATGCTATGGTAAAAGATGATAAATTATACGTAGAAGGAAAAAAGGTTATAATTAATACAAATATAACAAATAACAAAGACATAAATAACGAAGATACATACGGCAAAAGCACCAATAAATCTTTTATTTGAAACCCAAGACTTACAAGACAAAACATGTGACCTAGGGACCTTCAAGAAAAGAACTTACTCCTTTCTAAAAGGCCGGCAACGCACCTGCAATTCCCCTGATGTTGCAGTTGTTCATGAGCGGCGGTTGTCACTTATTAACAGGTAAACCGTATGCTCGTTTGCCCCCTCTCCTATAAAAAAATACTTATCCAGAACATTCAGAGCGCCTACAATAAAATAGATATAGTAGAAGACTTTGTACAAAGTAATCCCGATTACCGATATTACTGAAACCTGGCTATCTCTGGAAAAATTCGAACTGATACATTTAACCGACTATCAAGTAGCCACATCGTATTGTAGTTGTAGAACATTGCGCACCGGAGGCGGCGTCTGCATCCTGCTGAAAAACGATATAGAATATTTTTTTATAATTAAAACAATTTCCAATATGTGAATTGAGTATAGTAGAGCTTATAAAATGTAATACTACATTGTTAACATTATACTATAATGGGAAGAAGGAAGATTTATTTTACGAATAAATAAAAACTATTCTTCATTACATTAGTAAGAAATTTACTAAACATAAAACCATACTGGGGAGAGATTTAAATGTTTACATGCTGCAAAAAAAAAACGACACGAAAAAAATAAAAGCAATAAACTTTCAGACTTAATGCTTCAATATAACTTAGGAATCAGATGCCCGTGCTACATATATCTAAGTCTAGTTAGCTAAAGTTATTACGTAATTAGCTAACCTAACAACATTTTATAGTGACCATATCATTTTCATTCATCACACATTGCCAAGTCAATCTATTTATTTGAAACATAAAAAGATTTTTAACATTGATATGGTCACTATAGATTAGGTTAGGTTAGCTAATTACGTAATAACTTGAAACAGAATGACCCTTAAGTAGGGACTGAATAAATTAACCGACTTGGTATTACATGGATCTCACAACTTTTTACGGTAAAACAACTGAGTTGCGAGACTTGGTTTTTTACAAGTTATGTTTTTGATGGCATCGTATTTACACAATATAACGAAAATAGTAGAAATTTAGTATTTTAATCACAAATTACACAAACTTGAAAAAATAGATCCAATACTAAAACTATTAATACCTCAATACCTCAAGGCAGCGTGCTACGGTGTCTTATGTTTTTAATTTACATTACTGACTTTGCAGAGGCTCTGAAGGAATACTGTGTCATGTACACGGATGTTATTTCTATTCTTATATTAAGCCAAAGTCCAATAAATCTAACAGAAAAAATTAGTAACATATTATTCAAAACAACGAACTGGCAAACTGAACATAACCTGCGGATAAACTTATCAAAAACTAAATTAATGTCTTTCCAACTAGATCAAAAATCAAAATTAGATATACAAATAGATAACGATGGTTTCACTATAGATACAGTTAACGAGCATACATTACTAGGTCTAATAATAGATACTAATAATAATAATACGTATGCATATGCATAGCTCAGCTACGGCACTGTCCTATAGGGATGCACTACTGATGCCTCAAGTTAATTAACTAAAAAAAAAACGAATACGAATCATTGTTAATATTAAAAACACATAAAGCTGTAAGCCTCACTTTTAGAAGTATAATATTTTAAGTCTGCCCTGTGCAAATTTGTCAAAATAAATCCAATCTTCTACACAAAACGAGATGACATCATATGTAGGAATTTAAGACCGAGAAACAAACTAGTGCAACCAACTTCAAAACTAAAATCTCATTCTTCCAGCCCATTTGCCATGTCTATAAAATTATATAATAAATTACCCGAATATATAAAGAAACATTAAAGACGAAAAACCATTCCTAAAAAAATTAAAGCAACTAATTATAAACAAGTGTTACTACAGTACTTCTTAATTTTTAAAAGATTAAAATATAATATAATATGTATAGAATAGATACGTAAATATAAATATTTTATGTTAGGTAATAATGAAATGCCATCCTACTAAATAAATTACAATAAAAAAATCAAATAAAATTCAAATAATTTAACAAAAATTCAACTGTGCTAATTATACTAACTCTTTGAGTATACTCAAAGTACTAACTATAATAAGTTCCTGGATGACCGAGCTTTGCTCGGTATTTTTTTTTTTTTTGGAAATCGTGTTTTTGTAAATCATATTTAGATACAAATTACAAACTGATGAAATGAATATAAAATGAAATATGAATACTAATGATAATGTAGCAGTTTTTCATTGCCTAGAAACATGGATAAAACGACATTTTCTAAAAAAGAGTCCTAGCTAGATCGATTTATTGCCCCCTAAACCCCTGGACACTAAATTTTATGAAAATCGTTGGATTTTTGAGAGCCATTTTAATTTTTGAGAGCCTTGTATTAGTACTAGGAAAGACCTGTATGACTAATCACGAGCACAATTTTTTATTACAGAGGGTCCTTCGATGTCCTTGAAAATCCGCGAAAATGGATACTCTTACTTCACATTCGATCACAACAAAGAATACCAGAAGAAGCATTTCAAATTCCTGCTGCTTACTGAAGATACGAGGTTCGTTTCCTAGAGAGATTTTCTTTTTATGCTTTAATGTTAATAAAGAACACACATTCCACCTGATGGTAAGTGGATACTGTGGCTCATACTTTTACCATTGATTAATATTGAAATTGCCGATGCGTTGTCACCCTTGAGGACTAAGATGGAGTGCCTCGTATTCAGTAAAAAGGGTCTCCGGTTCTCAGCACACACTATACGAAACACTGTAATATTAATTGCTACTATTTGACGTTGGTATTATGTGAGAGCGTGGTCCCGCCGCGGTCGAGCCAACCCATTCGTATTACAACTACGCACTACGCTGCTGTGTTTCGTATGGGGAGTATAGAGAACCGGAGACCCATTTCACTGGAAACAAGGCATTCTATCTTAGTTGCATACGTATTTGATGAATTTAACAGTACTGCAGTATTCGACATTGATGTGAGCTTTTTAAATTTTTTTACATAGGAGCGGATTTTATGGAATTTTTTGAAATTTACCCATTAACTGTTAGTTTTAATTTCTTTATTTCCTCGTATTTTAGTTTTTGCTGTGAATCCGTCTTGCTATCGTGACTAACGCCCTTATTTTGGATATCCGTCTCCGATTGTTATTGTTTCATTAAGAAATGATTTTGGATTGCGTTTTGTACATTTATCATTTTTCGTGCACGGAAAACTTCTATTTAACCCGCCGCGAGGATCAGTAACCATGTTTTTCAATATAATTTCATAGAGTTCGGGATCTTCTTCCTGGTTTGATAAATTTCCAATTTGTCTCTCTTCTCTTCTTATTTTTTCACCAAATTAGTTTGTAAGAGTAAGGCAGTCTTCGTTTTTGCCATTCAATCGAATACCTCCAGCTGAGAACAGCACCAAATATTCATTTGTTGACGATAGCGTTGACAAATTTGAATATTAAAAGAAATTCTGAATACATCTGAAATATTGTAGAAATGTTCTCGAGAATGTACGGGATACAGGTTAATTTTGCAATAATCGGTCAAATTTGCAGAGAAGATTTAAAATGAGTAATTTATGCAAATAGTGAAGAAACATTAATAAAAAGAAAAACATTCTGTCCTTTTTATCATATAAATTCAAAATACATGGTAATGTTTTCTTTTAAGTGATTTTCAATCATATTTAATTTGGTATAATTTCAAATGAAAATTGAAGCCTTATTTACACGTATTTTCAATAACTGCAAATAAGTATATCATTACTTATTGATACTTTAATTTACATTATTGTATTTAAGTGTGTCTCACGCCTATTTCATAGTTTTATCTCTGCATCACCTAAAGGTTGCATCACCTAAACGCCAATGCATCATAGGTATGAAGTTTAAATAATTAAATATTAGACATAATTCTCAGAAATATGTCTGCCTATGATTAGAAAATCACAGAATTTATATAATATTTCATTAGCTATTAAATATGACTCATAATCATTATTCATAGTTAATAAATTAATCTGACTCCACATAAAGAAATAGCCCAATTATGAATTATGATACTAAGAATTTTATATTAACAAAAATATTTTTTACAGTGACGATGATTTCATATTAGACATGTCGTTGATTGACGACACTTTTATGCACGTCGAAGCTAGATTAGAGGTAAGTTTTTGTATTAAGTAATAAGTAAGCTGCAACAAGAGCACTGTGGCGCCCTATAATAAAACATGCTGGTATCGAATCTACGGTGAGGTTTATGTTCTTCAGAATGTACAGTGCCAAAGATACTACTTTTAGTGGTCGGAGTCTATATATATATATATATATATATATATATATATATATATATATATATATATATATATATATTGGTAATTACTAATATTCCCCTTAACCACTCGTGGTAATCTTAAATTGCTTGTGTTACGAGTGGTTCACGCCAGTAGTCGAATGGCGGATTCGAACCCACGACCTTTTTGAGTTCGCGGTCCGCGCCCTGCCATTAGGCTACTGTCGCTTTTAGTATATATATATAATGATCTATATGAGTGTAAGAGTGAGCGTAACTGTGAATACGTATGCATGTGGGAATAGGTTCAATATTTAAAGGCATAATTTGTAAAACAGTCGCAAATAAATCATCACGTAGTAAACACGTCTTTCTGTGAGCACAAACTCTTACAACCCAAAGTGAACCCTAACACCTATTACATAGTGGTCCTTCGAGCCGGATTTCAATTCGACTTACGACGTTCCTGCGCCGCGCGATAATACAAAAAGACTGGTCGAGCGACGAGCTTAGAACAAAAGAAGACGTTTGCGTAAACAAGTTTTTATGCACGTTTAATGCACCATATGGCATCGAGTTGTGGATTGAAAAGAAATAAATTATTATAACACGGAAATACCTAAGAAACAACATTCGAGTTTATACACGATTTGAAGATAGTTTTATCTACTTATACCGAAAATGGCTAGTACACCGGAACAAATACTAAATGTGTTGGAAGATACAGCTATATTATTAGGAAAAACTCAAGCAAATTTAAATAAATGTCCAAAACAACACCTAACGAAGGGTTACGTAGAAACACGTATTAAAACCGTTGAAGAATACTGGTCTACATATAAAAGGGCACATGAAGAATTAGTGAAGTGTGTTCCAAAACCGAAACGACAAGATATTCCGTATTTCGTTAATGAAGAATATTTTATTCAGGAAGATTTATATATTTGTATACTAGCCGATCTTAATGATTTATTATTTTCGCTTAACAAGTTATCGTCTTCGACACTTACACAAGTTGATAATATTAATTCGGGTTCTTCTAAAGAAATTCATGTCAAGTTACCAAGGATTCAACTTCCAACTTTCTCGGGAATTTACGATGAGTGGCCTGCTTATCAAGATTTGTTTACATCATTAGTGCATAATAACACATCATTAAGTAACGTACAAAGGTTGCATTATTTGAAAGGAAGTCTTACGGGAGAAGCCCTGTTACTTTTGAAACACGTCCAAGTCATCGATGCTAACTATGAAATGTCGTGGAACATGCTTAAAGAGCGTTTTGGCAACAAGCGGATTATCATTAATTCAATATTAAAAAGATTGTTTACCCAAAGAAAAATAAGTGTACAAAAAAAGGCAAGTAACTTCAAATCGATTTTGGATACTACAACAGAATGCCTGAAGGCATTAAAAAACCTTGGGCTGTCAACAAGCTCCTGGGATCCACTCATTATATTTTTAGCTGTACAAAAATTGGACCCAGAGACGCACCATGATTGGGAAGAAGATGCTTACAAGGATAATGCTGAAAACTTACCTACATGGGACGCACTCAATAAATTTTTACAGTTAAAATTCCGCACTCTTGAGCTTTGCACGCCGCCAACCAGAGAAAGACCAACACCTAGAGGAAGGGAATACGCTGTTCACTCATCTACGAATACTGCGACTTCTACGAAACTAAGAGTTTGTGCTATGTGTAACGAAAATCATACATTGTGTCACTGTGAACAATTCATCAAGCTAAGCCCAACAGAGAGATGTGATTACATAAAGAAACATAATCTGTGCTTTAATTGTCTGGCCCCTGGTCACTCTGCACGACGATGTCGCCTGAAGATGTCCTGTAGAATATGTCACAAACGTCATCACATGCTCACCCACCATTTCACGCCTATGACGTCATCAAGCCAGCCAGACAATTACAAGAATCAAGACAAACATAACGATGTTGAAGATCATCAATCTTCTGCACAATCAGCCGAATCCCATGTCACACTTTCATCACATGTCGCTTCTAAGGTGTCCACTGCATTGCTGGCCACAGCACTCATACCAGTAAGAAGTTACGATTCAAAACAAGTGACAGTGTTACGCGCGTTGATTGATCACGGCTCCCAGGCTACGTTTATGAGTGAAAGAGCAGCCCAGATGTTACGATTAAGGAGAACGCCTATCAATGGTACTATCACTGGCTCTACTAAAACAAACGTTAAATATGCTGCAGAAATTGAACTTCTCTCAAGGCACGACCCAAGCTTTAACATAAGAATCGGAACGTACATAATATCAACGCAACTGACTACCTAACTGCCGACTCAAACTATCTCTACAAGCACCTGGCCGCACTAGCAAGGACTTGTATTGGCTGACCCAAGCTATAATCAACCAGGACGCGTAGACCTATTACTAGGAGTCGACGTGTGTGCTCAAATAATGAAAAGCGAAGTTATCAAGGGACCCCCCGGAACACCTTGTGCTCAAAATACGACCCTGGGTTGAATTCTGTTTGGGAGCGTGGAAGACAAACCCGTCGATAAATTGATTGTTATGCACCATAATCTTGATCTAAACGACATGCTTAAACGAATGTGGGAACAAGACGCGTAAGGTAAGATTATGAAGACGCAGATGAACGAAGGTGCGAGGAAATCTACGAAACCACAACTGTCAGAAATAATGACGGACGTTACATTGTGACACTACCCAAGAAACCTAAAATGTTATTATCAACCCAAGGAAACACGCGAACAATAGCTCTGCAGAGACTTTATCAATTAGAACAAAGATTCAAGAAAAACCCAAAACTAAAAAACGATTATGCTACGGTTATGAAGGACTACGAATCAAATTACATGGAAGAGGTACCCAGAAACGAAATGAACAATCCATCGGTTTACTTACCACATCATGCTGTTGTTAAGGTAGAAAAGGAAACTACAAAAATTGGAACAGTATTTGATGCATCACAAAGAGGAACCAACAACATCTCACTCAAAGACGAGCTGTTGGTGGGACCACAGCTACAAGGAGACATGAGAAGTCTTATAATGAGATGGCAGATGAAAAGGATCTGCTTTGTAGCGGATATACAAAAAATGTATCTCCAAATCATGGTCACGAAAAAAGACAGGGATCTGCAACGAGTACTTTGGAGATATGATGATCAAGATCCTGTCAAGGACTACCGACTTACCAGAGTTACGTTTGGAACTGCTTCTGCTCCTTACTTGGCAGTAAGGACCTTGCACCAAGTAGCTCATGACGAAGGCCAAAACCATCCCGAAGCAGCAGAAATAATAAAGAGGGATTACTTCATTGATAATATGATGTCTGGAAAAGACAACCTCGCCGATGCTATCAGACTAGCCAAAGACGTAGACAGCATACTAGAGAAGGGAGGCTTCAAATTAAAAAATGGTATTCTAATGATGCAGACTTCCTAAAGGACTTTGAAGAGTCAGAGAGAAGTTCTCATGTAAAACTGGACATAACATTAGACGGGATTACACGAGCGTTAGGACTACACTGGAACATGGGCAAAGATTTATTTCAATACAGATTAAATCTACCAGCTACGGTAAATATAATTACAAAGAGAACAATTCTGGGTGACCTAAAAAGATTATTTGATCCACTGGGCTGGTTGGCACCTTCTGTCTTACCTGCCAAACTTCTAATCCAAAGATTATGGCTGCAAGGAGTAGCATGGGATGAGGAGGTGGACGAAACGATTGCTGCAGAATGGGACGATATACGAGATTCGTTTCGTATGTACCTACCTGATATCGAAGTAAACAGATGGTTAAATACTACTGAAGCTACACTAAACAATGTTACTATCCACGGATTCTGTCATGCATCATCTCGAGCTTACGCTGCAGTAGCCTACCTAAGAGTAAGAACAGAAAGCGGTGAAGTGAATATATCAATCATCGCTGCTAAAACCAAGGTTGCACCTACAAAACCACAATCCCTACCTCGTATGGAACTAAGTGGCGCTGTACTACTTGCTGGTATTTTAAAACAGATAAAGGAATCAATGAACGTACCTGCCAGTCAGATATTTGCTTGGACTGACTCAACCATTGTACTCTCGTGGTTGTTTGGTAATCCTGCAAGATGGAGCACTTATGTGAGAAACAGGGTTGTTGAAATACTTGACACAATTGGCAATCATAATTGGTATGATGTCAAATCACCAGAAAACCCAGCTGACTCCGCTTCACGAGGGCAATCATTGCAAGAGCTAAAAAATGATGAACTGTGGTGGAAGGTACAGAGTGGCTGAGAGTAGGGGAAATCCAATACAGCAGACCAAATACAACCTGGACAGACCTGGAAAGAAAGAAATCAATACATGTAAATTTGAAATTAGACAAAGAGAAGAGTATTAGTACAAAATTTGAGGATTTTGATAAGTTGCAAGAATTGCTTAAGGTGCTTATATATTCTAAAAGATTCTTTAAGGGAAAGAAAATGGAATACAAAGACTTACCTGTGACCACGACGGAACTTAATGATGCGCTTAAAACCTGCATAAAATAACTCAAAGGAACACATTAAAAGAGCCAGTAAACTATAGAGTTTAAAACCTTACCTGGACGATGATAATATCCTCAGGGTGGGCGGCCGACTGCGTCACTCAGACCTAAATGAAGACAGCAAAAATCCAATTATTCTTGATCATGACACCTATCTTACCTCTCTTCTCGTCGCTGATGCATACTCTAAAACGCTACACGGTGGAGTTCAAGTAATGCTCCGCTTTCTGCTCTTTAGTAAAATAAAGGATAAGAAAATGTCTAATTTGTGCAAAACTTAACGCCACAGCAAGGTCGCAACTAATGGGGGACTTACCTCGAGTTCG